AAAGCTTGATGCACTTAGATTTGATTTCAATAGATTCGAGAGAAAGCTTACAAGTGCTCATAGATGGATGGATGGAATAACTTTATTAAAGCGTTTGTAGATGCACAATATACTTTTGGCCAGAAATCATGAGTCGAGAGTGCATATCCAGAGCAAAACCTTTGCGACCACAAGGGCTTCTTTTAGTGAAGAAGGCATGAAAGTGCTAAATGGTTATTAAAACGGAGACACAAAACTCAGCATCTGAAGGACTAAAATATTTGACTAAAATATAAAACAAATGATCGCTACTGAATGCACAAATTTCGCCAATGTTCAAAATAACGCAACACGTTGACCCAGTAGTCATGGATTGAAACAGGAAAGTTCAGGGCTAAGCAACGCATCTACATTCATTACAGTGTTCAGTACGGGTCATGTAAGCGTCATTTAAATTTGAACACGCACATCAGAGCCAACATCATTTCTTGAGACAACATCCGTTGCGACACGACTGGTTACACACAGAAGGCCTCTCCTGCTTACAATATATCAATCTACAACTATCGTTGCAGTGACATATGATGCTGCTATGCTCTACTTGGAGCAGTCAATAAACAAGGGCACAGATTTAGAAAAACGACTTTATGTGACTGTTCGCAAGGCAAAACTCTGCGAATGTCTTGTTTGACACACACGATCATAACTTCCATTGCTTCCAGGTGGCAACATCATGATGCAGTTTCGAAGCAATGTGCATCCCATTTTTAAACAAGGTCTGCCTACATATATTTATCATCACGTAATTTGCATGATCACAAACACACATGCAAGAACAAAAACTCCGAGGTGCAGATTTACTACAAGGAAAAGTGCCTTATAGAAAAGTTGCATTGACGAACAATACCTCCCACTATTTCATATAGTAATTTAAAGTACTGTATAAAACTCATCAATGAAAAGTAAGAAAAACAATAACAAGATACGTACACAAAGTTAGTGTAAGAACTCAATACATTTGCCAAGGCATCTTAGCTATTGTTACTCCCATACAGTCCTTTTCAAATTACATCATTGACAAACGCCATGAGCAAGTGAATTATTAAGAACCAGTTCTCTTGTCAGTCCTCTTCAACTGGCAGATCTCCCGGAAGTGTGTACTTCGTGAAGACCAGGCTGTCCATGGCTGGCTGAACAAAGAAGGCAACCAATATTGTGGATTGTCAAAGCTGGCTACGCCAAAATATGTAATAAAACTTCACTTAATTACTGGACACGAAAAACTCCACTGAACTTTTCCTCTTCAACGCCCCTGCCCGTTGTCTTGTTTCAACGTTTTCTTTAAGGAGTAGGCCGCGTGGCTTGCTTCATGTTTGAATACGAGTAGATTTACAATTATAGCTTGTACAGTAAACAAGTTGCAAGTAATGTGTCACCAGCTATCTGTCATTTTCTTTAAACGAAGTTAGCCCACATAACACAACCACATTAAATAACCGAGTTCTTGCAATTTTTTACTACTGTAATAGGAATTCCGCAATATCAAGAACTCCTAAGCAAATCTTCCAGCACATTAGTGAAAGGTGTGGTACATAGCACAAAAGCATTCACACAAGAACACAAATGCCAAAAGCACCTGTAAACTCAGTTAAGCAAGAGTCATTATGGACTGGGGCTGCACAGGTCAAGACATCAGCAGAAAACGCCGCCTGTACCTCGAAATTTTCTTGTAAACAGATTCTTGCCAATGAAGCAGCATATTGCTGAGAAAAGAAACTAATAAACTTCTTGTTTAAAAGGCAGTTTTGCCAAGCCCAGAATATTAAGGTAATGTGCACCCCCTACTTGGAATGGCATAGCTACATGGCCGACACAAGTTCTTGGTATGCTGTTTGTAATTGGGGCATGTGGACATTGCTATAGCTCCTCCATCTCATCTAGCCGGTGGAAACACAAAAAGAGGCCTTTCATATGAGTCTCAGAAATATGTGTCTCAGTACTTTTTAAACTTAATATATTATCTTCTACACCAGTGGCAACAAAATACTTGCTACTGTTTTAGCTTGCTGAATGCTTTAGACGTATCATGACCGTCATCTAAGCCCACGTTATGCGATTTTGTAGTTTGCAATTCAGCATTAAATTCTACACTGCATGCTGCTACCAGTTCTGCGTCTAGCATGGTCAGCACCTCACAGGAGCTACATTAAAATGCTGTCCATGGTCATAAAACATAAGGAACACTCAACCCTGCTATTCAGGACAAGGACTAACTGCTTCATGCCAGGTGCCGATTCTCCCACAAGGTGCAACCGTGCAGAGGTCAGTCAAAGTTCCCAAAAGGGACAGCAGTTCTGCAGTCGGTACAGACCTAGACACTCCAGCCAACGTCTTCCAACCAGCACATGATCAGTTGTATTGACCAATCAGACATATCTAAAACAAAATGTCCAGAGCTGGAGCACATGATGACCAGGAAGATACGTGCATTATCAGGACACCCATGATTACTGCTTCGCATCATTTACAGTCAAGGATGTCAACTGGATGCCACCATTCCTCTCCCTCGCTTGATTGGCGTTGCCACCTTCTGCCAGAATTCCATCTGAGTCTCGTCGATGCGTTGGAACTCGGGGACGCATGTCGCGCACTGGTCCAGTCAAGCGTCACGTGTGGCATATAGTTTTGAAAAAAAAAAATCCGGACGTCGCAGCTGTTGATGGCCACGTATCGGAGTGCAGGCTGGACCTTGCCCAGGAAGCGCAGATCATTTCCAGTAAGGATGAGCACCGGCAGTGGGTGCTTAGCGCGGAACCCTAAGTGTTCAAGCCATGACAGCGAGCCAAGTTAACTGCGGATGACAAATGATGTCACAAAAAGGTCCCCATCGAGGCGGAGCGAAATGACCCACCTTGTCGCTCCAAGCAGCGCCTCGAATGAGCGAATCGCGATGTCCCCTCCCAGTCGCAGATTGACCAGTCTTGCGGACGATTCGGGGATAATGTGTCGGCGTCATCGTCGATGACTGAGGCTTGGCCAGTGCTTGGCAACAGCGGGAAGACTGACATCTTCGACGAACTTGAGTGACAGGTGCTTCAGTGGGAGATGTTTGAGTGTGTCCTCGACAAGCCCTTGTAACGAGCACAGCGTGCCTTGTGCGATAAACATCAGTGAGATGCCAGTGAGCTGGTCAAAGACCCCGAATGCAGCGATAGTCTGACTGTGAGTTGTGGTAACCTGCGAATAAGAAACATACTAAGTTGAACTAGTTCCAACTTTATTTGGTAAACATGTTATTCTAGGTGCAATGCTTGACACACGAAGAAAGGACAGAAAAGATATAGATGGCGCTCCTCCGTCTCTATGTCCTTTTCTCACGTTTCAAACATCATGCCAGAAATACAATGTTTAATAAATGTACCAAGTGAAGCCTTCTTCTTCTAAAAAAAAGTGTCATAAGTGCTTTAACAGAGCCATTGTCACATAAGTCAAGCATCGGTTCCTAGGCACTATATATCTTAATCTGCAATTCAAAGCAGTAGTGACTCTAAACTGAGATTTGGAAATTATGACAAGCCCAAAAAACCAAGAAGACAGGACCAGTGCATGTAATTTTTTTGCATTTACCTTCTAATTTGCATACCTAATTTTATAGTCAAATATCACTAACTCTCCCCACAAGAGCTACATCTAAGAATACACCAGTATTGTCCTTGTGAACAACTAATGGCAGCATTGCAGAGAGCTTTTTTGGCTCAAAGTACAACAAACATTGCACAGACAGAGAAGTGCGAAGAGCACTGCATGCTGGCATCACACTGTGCCTTTTACAGTGAGTTACAACTTAAAGGAAAATGTAAGCTCTGTCCATACAACCGCAGTGTGACTGCGCTTCACCAGTGAAACACAGTTGTGTTAGCTGGTTTCTGCTTGAACCATCAGTACATTGTCTTGGTTAATTTAACTACTATGCATAATAAGAGTTAAAGATTTGTTGTCACTGCCTAATGCATTATGTTTGGCTGAACAGCAATGTGAGAATCTGTGATGTAATTTACCAGCACGGTCAAGCTTTTTACTTACAACCATCGCTACCAATGTCTTTTTTGTATGGCAAATTCAAGAATCTGAAACACTCAAGGAGCGCTTGACATCATGAAAATCAGTAAGCACTGTAAGAAGCAGTAATCATGCTGTGGAGGTACTGTAATGGCTGTGAACGAAGCTGACATTTTTTTTTGAAGTTGTAACCTAGCATAAATGATGTGAATATTGTTCATTCCCTGGCCCACACCTTTGGTAGACAGAGAGAGCTCCGCAAATAACGATGGGCAGATCTCCTTGCGTCACACTATCAAGGAGGTCTCCAGCTACGGCTCGACAAGCCTCTTTACCCTCACCCTCATCCATCACTCACTGCCCTTGACGCTTGAACTCTACGGCACATCTAAATGAATTACCTGATAAGCCCCTCTGCCTTTTACTTCAAAAATATAGGTCTAACCCCTGCTGTCCCAATTGCCCCTTCCCATATGCCGGCCTGTCACACTGCCTGTTTTACTGCCCAACTGCTCAGCAATCCAGCTATTACCCTCCCCACCCCTTTCCATCACCTCCTGGCTCGACTGGATCGGCGCCGAAACGGAAGAAGAACAGCGTCGACTGGTCGCACAGGCGGTCGAAATGCTCAGCCTGTAAATTGTGGCTGAATAAAAGTCTATTACTACTATTACTACTATCGAACAGGTGAACAAACAAGTCCAAATGAAAACAGTGTTACACTACTGTGAGGTTGATGTTGAAGCATATAAATAACGTAATGAAACCTTAACAAAAGAAATCATGGCAAGTGTCACCTAAATGCACCGCAAGCTGTGGAAGAACATGTTGACTTGGACTATGTGCCCTGGCGTTATGTCCCAGACGACACCAGTTGTGCCGTCGAGCCACTCCACGTCTGCCCCAAGTATGAGGCTCCACGACGCGAGAAGAGAGGGGCGTGCCACCAGTAGCATGCTCACCAGCGGATTGGCTGGGCTCAGGACCTCGTGTCAAGATGTCTGTAGCTGACACAGCTGCAGGAAAAACAAAACAAAAAAAAGATGGGCAAGCTTCACGAACAGCTCCCTTCTTTAGCAGAGATGTCTCAGTCTTCCAAGTGCCACCACTGTTATAGAAGTAGTCATGCAAGTCACAGACCAAAGGGAGGAGTGAATAAGAAAATACACAGAAATGATAATTACAATAATCATGACACTTGAGATGATTAAGCCCCCCAATCCCCAGCCAAGGCTACACTCCTGGCACACAGCATGCAAACCACCCTCATCGCTATCACAGGGACTGATTTATGGATCACTAGTGCATTCGCCTTTATTTTCTTATATTCTTTTAGGGTGTAGTGTACACATGTGGGCGCGACCTGTCTTTTCGCAGTTATTTGTACTATTGGTCAGAAAATAGAAAGGTGCATTATGCGTAGGATGAACAGGACGTCTTGCATAGTTGATGTCTTTCATTGACCTCAATGTGCCATAATTACCACAGCTGTAAATATTGGTGAAGTCACTAAAACGTGCAATTTCGGCAAAGTGAGGTATTGGGCTAGTTGGTTTTGCATGATTAAAATACCATGCAACAGTTACTGGGACATAAAAAGTTAAAGAGTACACACGTTACAAGGTGGGCACGACAAGCACAATGCTCCACTTTGTAATGCTGAATATTGCTTCGTAATGCTCAGTAATAATCTACTTGTCATTCGATATGCTGTGTTTCGAGAACAAGGTCAGATGTATTATGTTCTGCAACTATAAATGAATTGCATATGCACACGTAACTTAAATTTCATTCTTCTTATGCAAGACTGGAACATGACTGACAGCGGAATCATGATATACCTAATTAGATGCAAATTACAATTATTGAAACTTGCACAACAGAATATACTGCCTGCTTTCTTTTTTTTTCCTGAAATATAACAAGTGCCTTCAAGTTTTACACACTTGCAGGTCAATGCATTATAACTAGAACCTAAAGAAGATGTACCCTTATACACACTCTTACAGATGTGCGAACTTACTTGTGCTACCTGAAATCCCATGATAATGTTAATGCTATGCTTGTCCAGTTTACCCCTTTCGATGCAATTGAAAAGCTACAGATGCATCGCAATGAAGGTGCCTTTCGAAAATCGACAATGTGCAAACTCACGTAGGGTCAATCGCCGAGCAGGCAACAGATAGTTGCCGCACTTAGAAACAAGTTGCGCGACCCCAACGGTGGCGCGCTGCCGATGAGCCGCTTCAGCTGCGGAAGAGCCTTGCCAATGTCACCCCAGCCATCTTCTGGCATCTGTAGTCGCAGGTCATGATGCAGGACGAGTGTTTCCACAGAACGGCACAAATCGATCAGGGTGCGGACAAAGTCGCGGTTACGGACGATCACGAGCGTCTTGACTTTGTACAGTACAAGTCGCGCTGCTGTGCCCAACGGCCGGCACTCGTCAAACGAAGCACAGCCGAACAGCGCAGCAACCACACGGTGGTCGCTGAGGAAACCACGGTTCTCGACGAACGCGTCGGCGGTAGTGGTGATGAGGGGGCCTTTGTCGTTGCGAGACAGACCTAGCGGGAGTTTCGGTGTCGAAGATGAAGACGAGGAGGACATTGACGATAGCCACGGTTTTTCAAGCTTGAGCACAACGTGGTCCTCGTGTCCGCAAACCTTGTCAGGGTCTTCACGCAGGTCGCGGATGACGTCTGTGGCAATCATGTTGAAGAAACTGCAGTAGAACAGAGGGGCATGGAGGTGTAGTGCTGATTAAAGTTAGGCTTATTGTAAAAACTGCGGCAAGATAGAAAAGCATCTTTACTTTTGAATCGGCACTGGAAATAATAGAAGACACTTGAGTAGAAAGAACACGGGATTTGTCATGTGGCGTTCCTACACAAGTTTCTTTTATGAGTTTTCCCCACCAATTCAAATCTATGCATCAAATACACTTGGCCAGCTTTCTACTTTACTAGAGAAATGTCTTTATCATGCTAAGCCAAGTTAAGTTGGTAAAGCACACATGAAATGGGGAAACATGTTACTTATGCTAAAATAAAAGCTCCATATGTATGAAAACAGAGCACGCATAAAACACATGTGGTGATGAAGTCTTCAAATCTGCCGAACATTTTTCTGAAGTAGTGAAAGTCATGGTAACAACTAATCGTGGCAAGCTGAATGATGTTAGCTTTTAATTACAGTAAACAAATTTTTTGGAGTTTTACGTGTCAAATCCCAAACATAATTACGAGATGCATAGTTGTGATGAACACTGCATGACTTTGACTGCTTGACGTTTTTCAGCGTAAACGTAAATCAAAGAACATTGGCATTCTTGAACTTCACTTGTGCTGAAACCTGGTCCGGAATCCAATTATCAGCCTCATGAAGAATCTCACTGCAAGTGATAGTTTACTACCACATTTGTGGGATTCTACAAGAAGCCCAAACTGAACAATGACCAATACATGCTCTTCAGTACCTGCCATCAGAGGCAAGATGGCTTTTTACGCACAAGCAGAGAAACTGCAGGCACTTGCAAAACTATACATATTGTAAGATGGCGTCGAGAACCCTCAAGACTCTTCTATATTGTCTCGAGATTGTGCCCCACAACTTAAACTTGACTGGTGATGATGAGTATGTACAGATGAAAAGATGGGATACATAAATAATGCTCAAACTTATTTTCCCCGCGCACTTGTGCGGCCGGCCCGGCCGAGACTTTGGCGGGAAAGGTATGGCAAACAAAGGGTTTAAGACGTGAAACGTGGACTATCTCGGAGGCACGGTAACAACGGTGGAGGAACCCTCGACGGGAGTGACAAGGTAATTGACAGGAGATGTTTGTTCACAAATAACATAAGGTACCAGAAAGCAAGACTGAAACCTTTCACACAATCCAGGTGTGCGAACAGGCGTCCAAAGTAATACTTCATCGCCAGGACGGAAAGTGACGTCTCGACGAAAGCTGTCATAGCGTTGCTTGCGGTCTTGTTGATTGGCCTCCGTGTTGAGTTGAGCACGTTGCCGTGCCTCAGCAAGCCTGGAGACGAAATGTTGTGGCGTAGTCAGGAACGTTTTTGACGTTACATTGAAGAAAGAGGCGTAAATGATGAATGTCGGCGCATGACAATAGACGAGAAAGAAAGGTGAATACCCGGTGGTTCGTTGAACAGCGGTGTTGTGTGCTAATGTTACGAACGGCAAGATTTTGTCCCAGTTATCGTGGTTCAGTCCGATGTGCATGGATATCATGTCGATTAGAGTCCGGTGGAATCGCTCTGTCAGGCGATTTGTCTGCGGGTGGTAAGCGGATGTGGTCTTATGAACTGTGCCACAAGTTTTTAAGATTTCGTCAAGAATTGTGAACAGGAAGACTTTGCCTCGGTCACTCAACAACGCGCGAGGTGCACCATGACGCAACACAATGGCTTCTAAAAAGAAGGCGGCAATGTCTGAGGCAGAGCTAGTGCGTAGAAGTGCAGTCTCCGCGTATCGTGTGAGGTAGTCGACGGCTGTGACGATACAGCGGTGGCCCGCTGCCATTACGGGAAGTGACCCGACAAGGTCTATTCCGGCAACGACAAAGTTATCGTAGCTTCGTCTTTCGTCTCGCTGACAGCTCACAATATATATATATATATATATATATATATATATATATATATATATATATATATATATATATATATATATATATATATATATATATATATATATATATGAATGCTCACAATATATATATAGCCTATATAAAGATTCACAATTACGAAACATTGCAAAAGAAGAAGAGCAAAAATCATTTAGTGAGACATCCTTCTTGCTTTCCTACCGTTTTTCATTTTTACATCTACAACCACTAGCTGCGCTTCATGCGTTTTTTATATTATGACGCATGCGTTTTTGGGCTGCAGCTAACAAACAAAATGAAACAGCCTAGAAGAAAAGGCTGCCTTCATCTTCCCATGGGGGAAACTTGAGTAAATGCATTGCAGAGCGGTGGGGGTATCCCGTGAATGATGCGTAACTGGGTATGGCTTGAGTATGCTTAATTGTTCTTTCATCTTTATTATCCTTATTAATTGAGTGAAGGAGAAGTGTTGCCTTCAACATGTGGTGAGATGCTGACATTGGGTTGTGCCTACTACTGGTTGAAGGTACTGTTGCTTCCAATGCATCTACTCGAGTCAAGCAAAGCGTCAAGTCAAGGGAAAGCCAAGTAAGGATGCCCTTGACTGAATACCGAAGGCGCGATCCAGTGCCTACAAATACGGGGTGGCCATTGAATGGTTGTGCAACGCGAACAGTCAATTTTTACAAGCAGACACTGCCTGCGTTAGCTTAGTGAGGAGAAGGGAGAGCGACAGTTGGCACGAGACGCGAGCATGCGCTGTGGGGGGTGTTGACGACACCGCCGATGCCGGATTTGCGACTAGGTGTGGCTATAAAATGCTCCGCATTTACAAACAATGACCAAAGAACGAACCTAGAGGTCGCGCGCTAGGGGGCGTACATTTCACGTCCCATAGCCCCGATATGGTTAAGCGGGACGCTGCAGCGGAGGGCTCCAGAAATTTTGACCATCTGGTGTTCCAACATTTCGACCAACATCGCACAGTACACGGGCCTACACCATTTAACGCAAAACGCAGGAAAATGCGAGAGTTAACACTGCCCCGACTCGCAATGGTCGAACTCATCAGAGCAGTGCATTTCATTTGTCCCCTGCATTACTTTAGCGCCAGTTTCCTTAGGGGACAACAGCAGCAACAGTTTGCGGTGCTCTTTGTAACAACACGGCATGATAAGCATGCCTAAGTCCACATTTTGAGTAAAAACAATCAAGCGGCTAAGCTATCCACAAAGGCACGACACTTCAGAGCCCATACACTTGAGACTGTATGCTGTGAAAGCTCACATTTGTATCCTGAGCCCAGGGAGCAAAAGGAGGGTGTGGGTTAGAGCCCATGAGCACTTACAGCCCTTCTTGGTTGACACTGAGCGCAGTAATAATACTTCTACTAGCAGCTTAGCGGCATCCCTTCTTGCTTTTAAAGTATTCACACTTCACAAGCAACTGCCCAACATAGAAAATGACCACAAAAAGCTCAGAGCGCAACACGAGGCTCACACCGCGCGCGCACACACCAAGCTGCAGCTGGAGATTGGCTTGGATTCGACAGACTTGAAACGAATTAAATCCCATCATGATGATGAATTTACGCACGAACATCGTGAATTCAAAAGTGCGCTCGTGATACGGTGCTCGTGGTCGCGAAGTGGGAGGGAGTCTGTGGATCTACACACGCATTAGAAAGGCGTAAAAGAAAACCACCATGAGACTAAGTGCCACATGTCTCCTTGGGCAACGTAACAGTTATTTATGAATGAATATCAGATATTTGTGTGCGCATGTTTTTGCAAGCTAAGCCTACGCACAAGTATGCTGTGTCTTGAGCTCCGGCAAAGAATTCACGCCTTAACTGAACAATACACATTTATTATGCTCTGACACGCAAGGAATAAAAATAAACTGTTATCTAGCTAAAAATAAGATTGAGAGCGTACGTGTGGGGCACGTGTAAGTATGGCATGAGCTATCGACCATATGCTTGTCACCTCACCAGCGATATTTGACATGGGCACACGAACCATATCAGCCTCATTATTTCTAAAGCTAATCGAGCATGTTGTCAAGTTCTACCTTTGTTGCTGTGAAGTGTCAATTCCCTACAGAAACAGCAAGCGACGCAGCCTTATAAGTACGCGATCACTTGTCAAACCACTATGGATTGACAGGCATTCGTGCAACGTCTGAACACTGGCAGCCTCGTAACTCTCGTTGCATCAGCGCTGAAATTCGTATACTGTTCGACATCAGCATCGCCTCGCAAATGGTGGCCGTCATGGGACGCACACTGCCATTCAAAGATACATTGCGGCTTTGATGGCTTGATCGTCAAATGATAAGAAACGGTGTCTTCTCCGATACTTCGCGCCATGGCGGCACAATCCCTAGCGCAAAGAGCCAACTGTATGCTGTCCATATCAGCTGCAGCCGCATCGCTCAACCGATGAGAGCTGTTGCTCATACTCGCAGAGTCCTGTGACCTGAGAGCAACCGCTGTTGGTTCAGACGTGAGTCACAACTTGAGCAATGTTTTAAGCACGGCAGTTGAACAGAATGCTGCTGTGCCCCCTTGGAGACGCTGGATGGCGAGCTTGCGGCACGCGGATGTATTTCGGGCACCTGGCCATTAACCAGGCCGCGTCCTACCTCGGAGTCGCTGTATTAGGATGTTGGAGTTGTCGGAGAGCAAGATGAACGTCGCAAGAGTTACAGCCCACAGCACGATACCAATCGCGACTCCATAGAGGATGACACGCGTCATCATCGCGAGTAGTTTCTTGAAACTCGTGGCAGTAGCTCTTCTTTTTCTTCTTCACCCGTCAACAGTCACACTTGATGATGATGGCCTAAATGTATGGCTCACACCCACTCTAGGGGACTGGTCAAGAAACTAATTAGAAGAAAGGATCACATATTAATTGTAAATTTACTTATAAAATGGTGAAAAAAAATTAAATTTGAATTAGTTGGAGAATTTCGATCAAAACTGAGTTGATTCGATTAGAAATATTTCTACAGCAGAACAGATATGCCAGTGACACTGAGCTAATGAGGAGTCTCTTAGTGAGAGAATATTACAAATAAT